GCAACATTTCCTTGAGAATATTGGTGACATTTAGTGAATGCGACACTTGAGCAGGAAATGTGAACAACATTTCCTTGAGAATATTGGTAACATTTGGTGAATGCGAGACTTGACTAGGAAAGTACATAAACTTTTCATTTGCTTGAGAATATTGGTGACATTTGGTGGTATGCATTATCCATCATATAGATTTGTATATATATAATATAATCTCAGGACAATTCTCACTGCGCCATCTAGACCCAAGTTAAGCTAGCTAAAGCTTGTGTTATGGGTACTAGATAACTGATACAAATACATAGATATGTTTTTTTGTAAATACATACAGAAAACACCCGATACATACAATCGTACTCATGAGTACAAATGTTTGTGCCGTGCGAGGTATCTAACCCGCGACTATCGGCGGTGTGCTATTCCGCTAGACCACCGAGGTCATCATACAGTCATATACATATGATTTGGATATATATATCTAAATCAAAGCGTAGCAATCACAAATGTTCTATTGTGGATATTCACAGACAGAACTGCTGTTTATAACTAGTTTATATGAAATTTTAATTACAAAACAACGTGTTTTAAGTACATAACGTTATTTACAATCATATTCCAATAACAGAAGATTACAATACAATTTCAGAGCCAATAAAATGCTTTTAGAGTACAAGTGGAGTTTAAAAGCAAAGTGTTTTATATTCCCATTAAGTCTCTTAGAGTCTTATTAAGCCTCTTAGAGTCTCATTGATTCTCTTAGAGACTTATTGAGTCTTTCAAGTCCTGTGCAAGTTATTATATTAGGTACTGTTGAAGATTTGAAGCATAGAGGTTTATCCTTGCCTTAAGAATTTAATTATGTTAAGGTAGTAACTTTAAGAAGTCTTGTCAAAGTGTTTTAAAGTGATCTTTGGTCTTTCAAGATCATTAGAATAAGACTTAATGAATACTGTTACATATTCAGGAACTTTAAAGTTCAGTTACAGACTTGTAGTATAACGATGTGTTACTAATGAGTTTCAAAGAGTCCCAATGAGTTCCTAAAAGTCTTATAGTTTCTTAGAGTACCATAATACCTTAAGAGTCAGACTAAGTCCTTAAAAGTCGGATAAAGTCTCTAGTTGCGACACAACTCTTAATCTAACAACGTCTTGTAGAGTCCAAATGTACTATGAGTTTTAATTTACTATCTCATTGACAAATAATTAGTACATATATTTTTATTATTTGTATTGTACTTCTGTATATTGAAATAGATATAAAACACGAGCACATATATATGGCAAATGACTTGACATGATTTTCATACCACGTGACCTGCGCAGTGACAATTTTATCTATGAAATTGTCTATTGCACTTGTCTATGGCCCTGTTCAAGTTATTTGCGGTAAACTGTGACTTTCGTCGTATATAACTCAACTCGGGTTATTGTATCTGTGGAGATAAATATAGTTGTAATTATTATTGTAGAATTAATAGCAAATTTGAATATTGACAGTTCTGTATTAATTGTGTTTGATATATGATGAGAAAGTCTGATATTTATTTATAAACTTTCGCGTTTAGTACATTTTATTAATAAAGTTAAACGGGTTTTAACCAATAAATTTATAAGGTAAATAAAGGTATTTACCTTTACCATTCTCGAATTGTCCTCGTCTGAGGGCACCGCTAGGTGTCCCGTAAATTCAATCCCCATTAGAATGAGACAGGAGATCGATTAGAGGATAAGTTGTGCATATATTACTGAACAGTTTTATTTTTGTGTAGTTACAAATCACAAAAATTACAATAACTTCGGTCGAGTTATACATTTTACAAATTACAAAATAAACTGTAAATTAAATAACTAATTGTAAATCTTACAACAATGTACAACTTAATTAATAATGAGTTAAGAAATCGTGAATAGATTTGGTTTACTTCAAGTTGAACGAAAAATTATGGATTCGTTTTACTGCAATTGTTTCTAATGCAGACACGAAAGTTTGTAACGATGTATGTTTGTTACTGTTCCAAAAACTACTGAATTGATTTTTACTATATTATATAATATCTCAGGACAATTCACACCATTCAGCGCCATCTAGTCCCAAGTTGACCAGAGTTTGTATAATGGTTAGTAGACAACTGATATTTCTTTTTATAAATACATATATAATATAAATAGAAACAAAGATACTCATGACCGATACAAACAATCATACTCATGAATACAAATATTTGCTCCGTGCGAGGAATCGAACCCGCTGGACAACCGAGACCGTCATATTATTAATATGGAGTTAAAATAATTGCCAATAAGAGATGATACACAAATTCTTGTATTTATTATAATAGCTATAGTTAACATACAATTCCATTCACGTTCCCTTACAAATTATATTTATACAACTAAAATATACACATCATTAAAATTATTGTCAGGTCCAGTAATCATTTATAATGCATACCAGTAACTTAGCCAAGACTTGAGGCGATGCGCTTCTGTCATCAAATTTTGACAGAAGCAGATGGGGGCGGGGTTAATTCGATTTGCTTCTTTCTTTAAAGGGGGGGGGGATAAGTCGGATTGCTTTTATTTAGCATAAAAATATATCTATTTTTATACTCTGGCTACAAATGCTACACTGTGTAAGTAAGGGAAGGTGGGTGATGGGGCAATGACATATACATACGGACAGAAGATGAATTATCTAACTGTATTGATAAAACATCTCGAAATAGACTGTAACTATTAATTTGCAAAGTTTCCAATGTAACAACTTTGGAATTAACAATAGCTTATGGGTCCAGAACTGCGTTGCTTCATTTAATATCTTGGCTTAGTTACTGACACGAATTGTCTATGCGAACCATAAAGCCGTGGGATACTAAATTTATTTATTTTAAAACTAATAGACTATTAGAGTTTTGTAAAAAAAATGACTAGTACACGTTCACTTGTGAGATCTTAACGAGGGCTTTATGGTTTGTATAAACTGTGGTCTATGCCCGGGTTTAGTCTAAGTCATTTAAATTGTCATATGCTAGACGCCAGTATTGTCTTGTAATAAACATTCGTTTATATTTATTTTAGACTATATTCTATTCGCCTTAAGGTTGCCTATCTAAAAACACTCAGCCCTGTACGAAGAAATAAAAAAAAACTGGTATAATTAGCTCATTTTGGCTCTCGAACCCCGTACATCATAGTATTTTGACTTCCATCAGGCAAAACTTATACAAACTTGTACAAGAAAGATATTGTGCTTGTATCGAAGGCTGAAGTGCCATGTAGGTACATATTCATTCTCGACAAACCTATTCACTACTGGAACTTCCCATCACTTAGTATTGAAATAATAATAAAGGTATTATATATAACGATAATCTATCGATCTATTCTTCCTCATTTGACTGCAAAAATGAATCTGTTTTTTTTAAACATGTTCAGCATTTTTGAAAAGAATACGAGCTGAGTTTCTTGTCAGTTCTCAGCTCGGAAGCACTCCGAACTGACAGTAGATTTGACATATCATAAGAGTCTGTAATATACCTACATGAATAAAAATATTTTCGATTTAATTTGATAAGGGAACATCCATTAAATACTTGATTCTTTTACCCTTTCGCATTTCAATTACTACTACTGAGATGTAGTGATATTTAGCTGATTTACCTTCCGCCTCCCTTATTCCTACGAAATACTTCGCGTTTCATTCACCAGTGACGATTACACAACTGAAACGCTACTGTGCTAATTGCGTTAGTAAAACATAGACAAATATAATTATTTATTTATTCTTTTACACACAAAATTGCAAACATTGCGGACATAATGCCTGATGGCATTCTCTGACAGTCGTACTCGTAATAGAAATAATAAGGCGGTGCAAATTTAGTAATAAATATTCAGATTGTCTATGATTCAGTTACATTACAGTGTTATAACAGTAACATGTTTTAAGTAATTTAACCCAGTATTCTAGCAAAACAATGTATTGAAAAAAAAAAGGGAATACGTAATATTTATCGATTTACCCCCACCCTTTACCCTTAATCTTCTCATGCAATTAATCGAAGCTCCTATACAGTAGAACAGTTGAATGTCATCTAGCATATAACAATATGTATTGTCAGTTTTCTTTTAAGACATTATCAGTAGTATCGTTTGATACAATTACATATTTCAATTTAAATAAGAAATTTAAATAACCAAATTATCTATGAATTAAAATAGATGGCGCTGTATATATAATATTTTCTATGCTTTGCAGTTACCGCGACTTCGTCTACACAAACTTTCATCTCTTATTTTATCCCAATGCAGATTATTTTCGAGTTAAAAGATAGAGCCATATCCAATCTCGGAATACAAGATTCAATTTATCTTCTTGTCAAGTTTAATTAAGATCTGTTCAGGTGTTTACACAGTTTAACAGACAGACAGATAGACAGACGTATTTATTATATTACTATATTAAAAATCCCTCTCTATTTCAATATACGAAGGGTTTTCGAATTTCTGAGAGCAAATCTGTAATTTTAAATAATAAAATATAATTTATCTTTATTTCTACTAACTTGTTGATACGATTACTCCAGGGTAAACATATCAACAAGTTAGCAATTAAGGAAATAATGTTGTTAGGAAGAAAAACTAAATTTTATTCACTGAGTTCTGCATCTCACCTTTTATTTCATTATTGTAATTTAGTGTATAAGATCTAAAATGATCTTTTTATACAATGTACATTTTATTGTGTGTACATTCAACATCGTTTTAGATCGAGTTTTAAATTGTATGTTGTATAGGAGTTTATTAAGGATTTCAAATTATTAATAGATTAATTGGTTAACCAGTTACGTCAAGCCAATGATTTTTATATAAGAGCGCCATCTATTGAAACTAAACTCAATGAAATAGATCTTTACTAAGTAAAGTGAACTAAATGAATTGTTTATGGTTTCATAGACAATTATAATCGAATACACAGTGTAATAAAAAAAGTAAAAAAAATTAACAGTATTATATATATAAAAGTTAAGTCCTGAATATGATTGTGCGTCAACGTCTACCATTCCTAGTGTCTGGGTGCGGTCGCCTCGGGTGATTTAGAACTGAAAATATAATATATTTTATATATTTCATACCTTATAGTATAGAGAAGTTATAGCTTGACCTTAACCGCTGTACCCCGCCGTGGGGGAGGAAAAAAGGGTTGTAAGAGGTTGATAGGGGAGATGAAAGATTGTATGAAAGTATCGTCATTTTTAAAGCTAGAAGTTTGAAACTTAACCGACGTAGGGGGTACCGGGGGAGTACACTTACGGCGAGTATCACCAATTTCAGTCGCCTTTTTTTTTTCAAAACTAAATGCTGCTTGTCAATCCATTTATAAAAAAAACTAGCTTTTGCCCGCGGCTACGCTCGCGTTATTTTTAGGAGTGGAATTTATAAAAATCCTTTCTACGTCATAATCTACCTGCATGCTAAATTTCAGCCGGATCCGTCCAGTGGTTTGGAGTGTGCGTTGATAGATCACTATGTCAGTCTTTTGAGTTATATATGTTTAGATTATTACCTGGGTGTACCGTCCCGGGCGACCGCCTGCACCACGTTCCTGGTGACATCTGGTGGAAAATGGGAACAAGCAATTTTTATATATAGTTTTTTATTAATTTAGAATAAAATAGAATGTTATACAGACAATACAGTGCTTATAGATTTTAACAATTGTACAGAACTCCTTACATACATTCCGCTGGTGGCACTACATTCCTAATTTTTAAATATTTATATTATTATACCATGATTTTATTGTTACCATAGTGTTGTTATTAGTCTTGCCTTCTTCTACGAAAGATAGTTCGTTTAGCTTTATATTTTTGCGCCTTTAGTTACTACCATCGTTGGCTGTACTGACCACGCAGGATATGGCGACTACCAACTTACACGCAGTCCCACATAACAACAATCAACATTATGTCCAGTATATTCAACTTTCAAACAGGCGTGCATTTTTTTTAAATACATATTGTTGTAAAACTATACATCATAAAAAGACAAAAAGTCCAGCAGAAACAATCATAATCATGAATACAAATCTTTGTATCTTGCGAGAATCGAACCCACTATTATCGGAAATAAAGCAGTGTGCTAATCGCTAGACCTCAAATATGTGTATATACGTATGTAATAACGTAAGTCTAAAACAGTATTTACCTGTCTTAATAAATACGGAGGACGGTACTGAAACGGCAGTGGGTTCATATTCCGGTTGCGTGAGTCGTACCGGCGCTCGTCCGGTCCCGGCTTCCGGTCCGGACAGTCCGGACGTTCCGGACGCTCCGGACGGTCTGTGTCGCGATCCCTGCGCCGGTACTGATACTCGTGATGACGCCGGTCTTGGTCTGCGAATGATGATGATAACCAACTTTGAAAGGAAGGTTTTTAATTTTAATATGATTGTATAATATGATCTTTTATATGTTATAGTTATAATACAATATTTCAGGACTATTCACACAGCGCCATTTTGTTCCAAGTTAAGCATAGCTTGTGTTATCGTTACAAATTTATATATATATATACTTTTGTTTGTAAATATATTACATAATTAATATTTGTAGAATTCACCCAGACCGATACAAACCCGCGACTATCGGACGTAAAGCGGTATGCTAAACCACTAAACCACCGGGGTCGTTAAGACAACCCACACAGTATGGGACGAAGAGGATTGTTAGTAATGTAGACTGTTGACCCCATTGCCCGGGGGGAAGGTGATTGTTAGTGATGTGGACTAATAACTCCATTGCTAGCAATGTACCATGTCAGGTCGACCTCCACGCGGTTTCCCCTGGAAACCATCGTGATAAATTTCTGCTAAATATGTCACGATGGGCTAACTAACCTGACCTCATGTTCATGTTATTATCCTCCACTGGTGCCTCGCCAGCGTAAACCGTTAGCGCAGGCGGGTGCACCATTCCATTATCATGCTCTAAAAAAAAAACCCCATTGCTACCAAAGCACCATTTTAGATTGACCTCCACGGAGTTCCTGGAAACCATCGTGATAAATTCCTAACTGACCTGACCTCATGCTCGTCTTATCATCCTCCACTGGTGCCCCGCCAGCGTAAACCTCAGGCGGCTGCACCATACCATTATCATCCATTAATAATCCACACAGCGCCATCTAGTTCACGCTAAGTAAAGCTTGTGTTATGGGTACTAGACAAATGATAGAAATATATAGACGGTGGCAGCTAGACATAACTTACAATGTGTTTTTGCCTGCATATCTCGTATACTATTAACGATCGCTCTCGCCGCCGACGTCAGTTGAGTCTCATCGTTGGATGCTGGTCTTCTGTAACAGACAAACATTATTTATTTATTTATGTGCTAGCTGACCCCGCCGTTGTTTTGCCATATAAATTAAAATAGCTATTAATAAATAAGGGTTGATAGAAGTGTGAAAATTTAGGGTTGTCTCTATTTTTTATAACAACAGCCACATAATAAAAAAAAAATGTTAGGGGTGGACAAACTTTATCACTTAGAAATACGAAAAATAGATAGAAGTCGTTTCTCAGACCTATTGAATATGCATATGAAATGTCATGAAAATCGGTCAAGCCGTTTCGGAGGAGTATGGTAACTAACATTGTGACACGAGAAATTTATTATATACTAGCTGTCCCGGCAAACGTTGTTTTACCTTAAAATAAAAAAAAAAATAGGGGCGGACTATCCCTAACATTTAGGGGGATGACAAATAGATGTTGGCCGATTCTCAGATCTACTCAATACGCTCACAAAATTTAATGAGAATAGGTCAAGCCGTTTCGGAGGAGTATTTTATACGACAATTTTATATATAAGATAAGAATAGAATAGAATAGAAAATCATTTATTCAAATAAACTTAATTTAAGCACTTCTGAATAGTCATAACATTTTTTTTATCTACTGCTCATTGGGAAAGCTGTCTCATCACAAAAAGAACGAGAAAGAAACTTGTGTGTTGCTCTTTTAAATAATCCTTGCAAGTTCACATTATACAAGTCGAAATGTGTGAATACAAACTACCAACCATCACTAATTTATTAGGATCAAATATAAATATACAATAAGATCAGTCGTAGCGATAAGAGCAGCAGCACAGTCCGCGTAAATTTTATTTTATTTTTCTAAAATAAAAGTAGTCTAAGTTACTCCTTATTACATCAGCTACCTGCCAAAAAAAGTCCCGTCAAAATCGGTCCAGCCATTCAGATTAGCTGGAACAAACAAACAGACAGACAAAAAATGTTATTTTGGTGTATGTACCGTATTTATATTCATATGCATGTAGTAAAAAACGGTTATTTCAATATTACAAACAGACACTCCAATTTTTTTAAATATGTGTAGGTTATATCAGTAGCTAGAGTAAAAGAACTTTTTATACAAAACGCTCTAGTAATATTATACAGTAAGGATTTTTTTTAGATTGTAATAAAATGCTGTCTTAAGGTATCTTACCCGGGCGTTCCCCCAGGCCGGTTTCCCCCCACGGGGTAACTACCCAGGATCCCGTTCCCGCTGTTCCTCCTCTTCCACTCGTCCCTGGGTCGGAACTTCTCCCGATCCTTGTCCCTGGTGTTCAGCGCCGCCATCTGTTCTTTGATCTGCTGGATTTTGACCGCTATCTCGTTTGAATTCTGTCGACTTAGGTTCTTTTCGTGTCCTGTTGACAATATAATAATTATAATAGAACAAAATAACTGTTACAAAACGTCAATCTTGCCGTATTGTAAGAAAATTTCTTTCGTCATCCAATTCTACCCATCCCATTATGTATCTTTTAAAATCCACGTTTGGTTAACCTTTCGAACGTTTTGACACAGATCTGTGCGCCCCTCTTAAACCGTATTACCGTCTTGTCACAGATCTGTGCCCGCAAAACTTCTTTTTAACCAATTTAGTCCTTATTTAAAACAAAATAAGATTGAAACGCATTTGAAAAAATACAGCTGGCGCGTGCATACCGCCTCTTCACTTTCGGTCGCTGCGACAGAGGACAGACATTCGAACGGTTAAGACATGTGTTTGAAGGTATTACCCCGTAAGAAAGGAAATATATCTTATTAATATAATAAACGCGAAAGTTTGTGAGTATGGATGTTTGTTTGTTACTTTCACGCAAAAACTACTTAACGGATTTTGATGAAACTTTAGAGTAATATAGCTTACACATTATATAGGCTATAAATTTACCTATTACAGCAACAAAAACTAAGTTGCTCTGGTGACAGAGCGCAGTAATATTCTAATTGTTTTCCTTTCAATTAAGACATTTTTCACTCCTTCATGGCTATAATTATTATTTTTTTACACATTTATTATATTCCTGTTCATAGTATTCATATATATCAAATTAAATTGTGGTATCTCGGTATTTATAAAGTTCTGGTACTCTAACTGTAATTCGTACTTTCCAAGTTCTTTTATTACTTATTTATTTCACATTATTTCGTTCAGTTCATTTTAGTTTATTAAAAAAAATATACAAAGTACATTATTCACCCTCGAGGACATAGCTGAAAATCAGTGTTTTGCTCTTTGAGTGATTCTCCACATTGAGCTATGTATCAATTTTGTATTGCTGTAGCACACACGTGCAGGTTTACCCTTTATTGAATTGTTATATTGTAGGTACTTGTCATTTGATGTTATAATTAAGCTTGTATGTGTGTACTAAGATACAAATAAAAACTATTATCTATCTATCTATCTAAATTTCACACGGGTGAAACCGCGAGCAGAGCTACTTCTACGACTGTAAGGAGCTAGTGGAAGTATTCCAAACCCGTGGAAGGACTTATGGAGCGGCTGAAGGTCAACTCCCGCCTGACGGATACGACTCTATTCTGAGGGCACCGCTAGGGGTTCGAACCTTGCTTTAGGCCGTCGTAATTTCGATCCCCGTTTGAATTGGACGGGGGATCGATCAGAGGGGGTGGAGATACTGACCTTGTGTGTTACTGTGCACGTGGTCACGATAAGGCACGTGTTTGTCATCAGGCGTGGCAGGCAGCGGCGTGTGGCGAGACGAGCCGCAAACTGAATTCCTCTTGGAGTGTCGCTGGCTGCCGTTGGATTGCCGCACCTCCTGCTCGGAAGTCGGGTAAACTGGCTGGCACATCGGATACGGCTGCGATATCACCTGCAAGATATTTATATCAGTATAGAATAGAATAGAAAATCCTTTATTCAAATCAATTTAATTTAAGCACTTTTGAATAGTCACTACAATCTTTTTAATCTACCGCTCATTCGGAAAGCTTTCTCATTACAAGAAGAATGAACAAGAAACTTGTGTGTTGCTCTTTTAAATAATCGTTGTAACTTTACATTTTAAACTACCAATTAGCACTAATTTATTAAGGTCAAATATTAAATTAATCATATATCAGTCTTTATCCGAGTATCTGAGTATCTATTACATCTATATGTTTACTTTCTCTATCTAACCAATTAGATGTTTTATTGCTTTACCGTGACTTTTCTTGTACTTATTAATCTTAATATTATAAACGCGAAAGTTTGTAAGTATGGATGTTTGTTACTCTTTCACGTAAAAACTACTGAACGGATTTTTATGAAAATTTACAGTAATACACCTTATACACCAGAATAACATATAGGCTATAAATTACATGAGACTGAACCCGCGGGATAAGCTGGTTTACAATATACGTGTAAATTGTTACATACCTGTGGATATACTAGGTTGTATTGGGGGTACAGATTGGGGTACACCACGGGGTACAACTCGGGTACTAGTAGCTTGTGGGGAGCACCCAGGGGTACTAGCGGACCGCCGGCCTGCCACTGCAACGGTTCGCCATATTGCTGTAAAATTACATTAAAATTAGATCTCTTCTAATTTTAATAAAAATACTTATAGAAAATTCAAGTATCTTTATTTCGACGGCCTCGTTGGTCTAGCGGTTTAGCACACCGCTTTATTTCCCATAGTCCCGGGTTCGATTCCTCGCACGGTACAAATATTTGTATTCATGACACTGATAAATCTGGAACACTGAGTTTGTGAGTTTGTATGAAGGAACGAATGATTTATGTACACTGAACGATGAACGAATGTTTCGAATGAATTTCTGACTTCTTAATATAGACCTACCGGGTAGGGCTGCAGGTGAGGTTGTGGTAACGGTGGCTGGGGCTGCGGTAGTACCACGTTACTGAGTTGATACGGTGGTAGGACTGCTGGCATTTCTACCTGGCCATACGGGACGTTGTAACTGAAACAGATATTTAGATGTATATTTATAAATAACTGAGATTAGCGGCCTGGGTGGTCTAGCGATTTTTTTTAGAGGATGATATTGGAATCGTGCACCCGCCTGCGCTAACGGTTTACGCTGGCGGGGCAGCATGAGGTCAGATCAGTTAGCACATCGTGACAAACTCACCGGAAATTTATCACGATGGATTCCAGGGGGAACCGCGTGGAGGTCAAACTGACATGGTACATTGCTAGTAATAGGGTCATGAGTCCACATTACTAACAATCCCCTTCTCCACTGGTCTAGCGATTTAGCACATGATGGTCGCGGGTTCGATTCCTAGCATGACACAAACATGATGCAAACATTTGTATCGGTCTGAGCGTTTTCTATGTATATATATCTAGTAGCCATAACACAAGCTCTATCTAGCTTAACTTGGGTCTAGGTGACACCATGTGAATTGTCCTGAGATTATATTATATATGCACCCATAACACAAGCTCTGCTTACAGCGGGACTCGATGGATCTGTGTTAATTTTCCGGGGTTATTTATTTATTTATATATGATGTACTGGTCTGTTCCGTTACGAACACTGATTAGACTATTTGCTTTAGCAATAGCATACGCTGGTGGTCACTCTATTGTGCCAAAATTGAATTTAAAAATGAATCTGTATTATTGTAAACATGTACAGCATTTATTTGAAAAGAATACGAGCTGAGTTTCTTGTAAGTTCTTCTCATCTCGAAATAATTCCGAACTGACGGTAGATTTGACATATAATAAGTCTGTAATAGACTTACATGATAAAAATATGTTCAATTTGATTGTATATTGTTAGCTGTAGGTGCTACCATCGTGCGACGCTTTTGTAAAAAGCCTGCGAAACCCGGCCAAAAGAGACCGCATCTCTTTTGGCCGACAGACGTGCTCTCGAACGAATCTCCGTATCATACCGTGTTTGCTTTATATAATTTTAGTAGTACCCTGTACTGATTTTGTTAAAATTAATTATACGATTTGTTATAAGTTTCTTTCTTTTAATTAAATTTAATTAGATTTAAGAATTAATTAGATCCCGCAACCGTAATTATAACACCTTCTATCTTCAGGTTTACTCAAATAATACTTCTTATTATAATCCAATAGTTCGAATGTGTCGCCAATACAATGAAATTCTTGTCTCGAATAGAAATATAGATATTTTCCATTCAACGCTGATCCAGTTCCGGAGACAATTAAATTTCCACCGTAAAGTGACAAATTATATTTAATATTGTACCAATTTTTGTTTCTCAAAATTCTGTTAACATGATAATTCATTGCATTACGTAGTTATATATCATTTTCTATTTAGTTTACTTTCATTATATATCCTTATCTAGCTATCTAGCGTATATTGAATGCATCTATATAATTTAGCTCTTAGGCATACATAGTGTTGGATTACAATCCAGTTTTGTACCGAACTACACGCTCCTAGTTATATTATTATATTGACTGTAATCTGTTTTGTATGCATATATGAATAAATAAATAAATAAAATTGAGAGGCCACTCCTAACAATATATATGTATGAATTACCTGCGAGCGTGGGGATGTATGTTGGGGTCCACGCAGGCGCCGCACTGTGGGGCCAGCTCCATGCCGCTAACTGCCGTCATATTCGCCAGTGCATAGCTCGGGTCTACAATAAAAAACAAATCATATAGTCACGACTCTTATGCCTGACGGTGTAGCCAGAGTTGTCAATTTATATTATATATAACAATAACTAATAATCTCAGGACAATTCACACAGCGCCATCTAGTCCCAAGTTAAGCCAAAGTTAATTAATATAATAATAATAATAAATTAGCAATAAATACAATAACTTTCATTTCGGAAAAATTAACTAAGGTACCTCAGTAAGTATTACCAAATGTAAGTGTTCTAACTGATATAAATACTTATTTTTTTATAAATATATGATACTAGCTGTACCCGCGACTTCGTCCGCATAAAATAAAAGCCAAATGAAAAACTATAATAATGACGAATTTACATAAAAACTTTCAACCCCTATTATTATTTTACACCCCTAATGGTAAAATTTTTAGAAACTTAGAATGTCATATTTATTTATATTTAATCAACAGCGTCAAAAATAAGTTTTATGTCTACACTTGTAATATTTCTGTCAACACTGGGGACCCTTCCATTAGTACCTCTCCGGATAACATAGATTTAAGTTCAGTGTACAGTCAGTCCACGTTACAACTCCGCGTCGAGTGTACGCGTCACTAATAAGCCAAGTAGCACACTATCAAATAAAAGTTTATTTGTAAGTACTAATGGACAATAAATAGTACTGTGGTATAGTGATGCAAATCAGCACGTTCAGTAAAAGATTGTGCGAGTGTACGTTTTGTATAACGACACGTAGGTCACGCAGTACCTCATATATATAGTTTATGTAATTAGTCTAAGCTAGAGTAATTCAAGATGTAACAGTTAAATATACAAGTTACACCCTACTGTGTGTGTTTACTCTCACCACCGCTCCTGTCATCACAGTACAATTATTACACATGTATACTCATTACCTACATACTACAAGAAACAATATATTATGTATAGACACTTCATCATATCATATATAACGGTACAGTGGTAAGGTGATAACCACCCCGCTACATATTATTCTATACTAGCTGACCCGCGCAACTTCGTCTACGTTTCATTTCCCCACCTTTTGTAATATTTCCATTGCAGCTCCGTTCCTATTGGTTGTAGCGTAATGTTATATTAATATTATAATTATAGCTTAAATCCTTCCTCGACAAATGGACTATCCAACACAAAACGGTAGGTAGGGACGGTAGGGAAAAAATAATAAATTATAATGTAAAAATTTGACGTTCATAAGCGGCTAAAATGTCCTACATGAATAAATGATTTTTGAATTTGAATTTGAATTTGAAAAACAATTTTTCTATTCGAACCAGTAGTTCCTGAGATTAGCGCGTTCATACAAACTCTTCAGCTTTATAATATTAGTAAGTGTATAGATATAAATATTACATACCAATCCTGAAGGTGTTTTCGTTGGCGTGAGGTGAAGATGCCAATTGTTTTTGCTCCTCTGTCGGTACCATCTGCTGATATAATGTTTGAACTGGTTGCTCCTTAAAAAAATATATTGGTTACCATAAAGCATGTATATAGCAGTTGCGTGTACCATAAACTTTAAATTTATTTAATTTTGTTACTCTGTGGAGATACAGTAAGATTTTTTAATCTGTAACTTATTGTCTATACATTCTCTCTGGTTTATGCTAAGAACGAGTAAGTACTAAGATGAATGTAAAGTGTCTAAATAAAATAGAGTTAAAACATTTTTAATATAATTCAAACATCTGCGCATGACACAAATAACTTATAAAACAACAAATTTTGAGAACGATAAGTTTTTTTTTTTGCATTTACAATAAATCATTACATAGTATAACACAAAGTAGCCGTCGCTGTCTGTCCGTCCGTATGTATGCTTAAATCTTTAAAACTACGCAACGGATTTTGAAGCGGTTTTTTTAATAGATAGAGTGATTCAAGAGGAAGGTTTATATGTATAATACATGTACACCCGTGCGAAGCCGTGGTAGGTAGCTAGTTTAGTATAAAAAAACTTACCATCCTGCATGGATTCACATATTGGTATCCTGGTGGCGCAGTCGGGTACATAACGTTTGCTAGAGGCATCGGCCCTGGAATAATGATTAGTATTAATTAAATTAGATCCTCATGGTCTAGTGGTTAATAACGTTTTAGCTTAAACGGTCCGGTGTTCAAATCTGGCCTAAGCAACAAATCTTTGACAATTTATATTGAAGAATTGTATTTATTTGACGGCCTCGGTGATCTAGCGGTTTAGTACACCGCCTTACTACCGATCGTCGCATGTTCTATTATTTCAACGGTACAAACATTTGAATACATAAATATGGTTGTTTGTATCGGTCTAGGTGTTTTCTATGTAAAACATGTGTATATTTACAAGAAAAATGTATCTATGTATTTATATCAGTTGTTTAGTACCCATAACACAAGCTCTGCTTAGCTTGGGACTAGATGGCGCTGTGTGAATTGTTCAGGATTATTATTATTATACAGTCTTACATATTAATGCGTCACAAATATTGTGTTTGTCACAATTTTTTATTTTGTAGCATAGAGAAGAAGTGATCTTCGGCTCACCTGATGGTAAGTGATTACCGCCGCCCATGAGCACCCGCAACACCAGGGCAATTGCAAGCGCGTTGCCGGCCTTTTAACAAGGAATATGCTCTATCCTTGAAGGTTTCAATATCGTAACGGTTTGGAAATATCATTGCTGGTAGGTGATAACACAATGTGGTTGTGTGTGACAAAGTTTCTAGAAAAACACATGGTGGAGGACCGCCATTCATCCAGACGATCAGGATGGTATTTTAGTTTCTGGCGGGTGGTACGATGGTGAAATTCAGCAGCTGGTATTAATCCGAATAATTTATTGTTTGTCTGTATATATATATATATATATATATATATATATATATATATATTATGTATGATAATGAAATGGTGATGCTTAGTACTCCTTTTTTTTATTGGGTTGTTTGGGCTATTATCCGGTGCTTGAACCTGTAACACTGCGACCTACATAGATCTATTGTGCTCGCTCTTTGTCAGAGTACGCTACCTAGACCCGTCAGGGACAAGAATTGAAGGATATTCTTAGCAGCGATGGTTTTTATCTCCTCAGGATAGAGTTATACTTTCCAAAGGAGATATTTGTTGCATGAGTGGGCTACAAACACATAGGATGGGTTGCTTGGTACTTACTTAAAGTAGGGTCCGGTAGGGTCATAGGTGCAACCTTGGCTTGTGCTATCAAATTCTGCATGACCATATCTGGCGTGTAGTGTACCTGCCCCAGATGTCCGGGCGAGTTTACCTGCAATGATAAACGATAAAAGAATCATCAGACCAATTTAGCTCAATTACAATTTATGAAATACTAGTTATATCCTATGATGAGAATCATCAGAACAAATTAGCTTAACTATATCAAATACTAATTATATCCCACGATGTTGCTTGATTATTTTAATATGTCCCCTCCGATCGATCCCCCGTCCAATTCAAACGGGGATCGAAATTGCGACGGCAGTCCGTTACAATCGGGGATCGATATTATTCGGTCAAGTCTATCAAATACAAGTCATATCCCATGATGTTGTCTGCTTATTTTAATTTGTAAAATTCCCCTCCGTCCAATTCAACCGGGGATCGAAATTACGAGCGTATGTCGAGATTCGAACCCCTAGCGGTGCCCTCAGACTAAAATCGTATCCGTCAGGCGAGAGTTGCCCTTCAGCCGCTGCATAAGTCCTCCCTTTGGTTTGGAGTGCCATCTGCACTCCACCCTATGCCCGGTGAAGCTGTAAAGGCCAGCTTCCGCCAACAGCATAGAGAGTAGTCTGAGAAAAAAAAATCTCGTGTCAGTATTTGTAACAAAATCTCTCCTGAAACGGCTTGACTGATACTGTAGGTCTGAGAATACGATCTTAGTACCATTAGTAATATTTACTATTTACAAGGTAGGCCTGTCAGTTTATTTGCTGTTTTAATTATATAAAAAAAAATCAAACCTCATTTCGCATCCCTTGATAGTGCGTCAGATAAAGCATCTCCTGACTATCTTGACTTGTCAGTTTATTTAATTGCCGCTGATTGGCTGCTACTTCGTGAACCATTCTGTGATTTGTGGTTACAATCTCAAACTGCCTCTGATTGGACGATGCATCGAATTGTCCATCGTAATTCGTCGATTCCGACGGCGGTAACTGATTGGCTTCGTTTGGCGTTTTCTGATTGGCTGCTGTTTCGTATGCTGTTCTCTCATTGGTTGACGATTCGTAAGCCGTTCTCTGGTTGGCTGCTGCTTCGTAACTCGATCGATGATTGGTTTCGGATTGGTTTGGATCGATCTCGTGTTTATGGCTTGATTCTTGCGTGTGATTGGTTTGTTCGTAACGGTTTTTGCATGGACTGGTAGGTTTTGAATTTTTTGGTTCGGACGGTATTGTGACCTGTAAAATAGTTTATTTTAATAAATGTATGTGAGAGACAGGCCTTAAAGATTTTTTATTGTTTTTCCGCGAATAAGATACAAATCTTAAAAGGCATTGGAAGCACGCCACATTAGATAGAACAATTAAAAGTAAAAATACTCTTATGTTAATAAGTACAGTAAGTAGGCACAGAAATCTATAGAAGGAAATCGTAGAGTTTAGACTTATCGGTATGCCAATATGTAAATATCCAATAGCTACAACGTAACTCTAGTTACAATGGCGTTATCAAAAATGGAGTACAGTGGATTTTATTCTGTATACTACTGGACAGCTGTAATATATGTGGGAAAGAGAAGGAAGCATAATGTCGTCTGTAGCGCAAACAACTGGCGTCATGCAGGCATTAAGCTGTGAACGTATATAACTGGAAAACTGTAGTATACGTGGGAAAGAGAAGGAAGCATAACGTCATCTCTAGCGCATACTGCTGGCATTATGCGGGCATTAAGCTGTACACGTAAATAACTGGAAAGCTGTAGTATATGTGGGAAAGAGAAGGAAGCATAATGTCGTCTCTATCGTACACTGCTGGCATCATGCGGGCATTAAGCTGAGAACGGCGACTGAGAATAGTGGTGTGTGTCTAAGAGCCGGTAATTAGGAAGACGAACTGTATAAAAGTAATTAGAAGTTCTTTGCACAGCAATGGATCGTGGATTAACATAGATTAGAATGAGATGAGAGACCTTGTCTGTCGCGCTCCTCTGGCAGCCGTCGTGTCGCCGACAATCGCAGCAACATTTGCTACGACACTCTTCTGTTGGTTGACAGTCACACTCTAGAATAATAAGAAACAGAACAGAATAGAAAATTATTTATTCAAATTTTTTGAAGCATTTTTAAATAGTCATCACTTTTTTTTTATCTATTAGCTCATTGGGAAAGCTGTCTCATCACAAGAAGAACGAGCAAGAAACTTGCATGTTGCTCTTCACTACATAGAATAAAATAAAGTCGCTGTCGCTGTCTGTCCGTCCCTATGTATGCTTAAATCTTTAAAACTGCGCAACGGATTTTGAAGCGGTTTTTTTATAGATAGAGTGATTCTAGAGGAAGGTTTATATATATATAATATATGTACACCCGTGCGAAGCTGGGGCGATTAGCTAGTTTAATATAAGATAAGAAAATAAGAATAAATAATAGTAATAATTTACACTACAGAAACTAGTCCCAAGCTAAGCAAAGCGTGTATTATGAGGACCACCATACAATACCATAACACAAGCTTTAGCTTAGCTTAACTTCTGTCTAGATGGCGCTGTGTGAATTGTCCTTAGATTATTATTATGTACAGACTTATCCACCACTCCAGCTTATATTGTTAGCGCAGCATATACCATTCATATATACACCTGTATGTATAGGGTACATACACCATTCCATAATGTTATATAAAAAAAATACCAACCATTATCGATGAAAGAATGCTGTTTCTCCAATTTTCCTCGTCGGCCCGATAGATCATTCTGGAACAAAACAATCAAGAATTTAATAACAGTCAAAATCAACTCAATCATCATCATCATCCGCTTCTTCCTTATCCCATTTATTTGTGGTCGGCGTAATATATTTTCTCATCCATACATCCCTGTTCGAAGTCATCTCGTTATTTACTATTCAAAATCAATAATATTTATTCAAATTTTGCGTCTTATATAATACTAGTGCATCCGAGATACCATAAAGCTGAGTAGTTCTATCGGATCTTTGTTTTTGTATTTTTTTTTTGTTCATTTATATTACTTTACGTTTTGTTAGTGTTAATACAATATTAATAATTCATACAGCTATGACGCACTCATCATTCTACCACAGCTGTGCGATATTGTGAATCTGTGGCGCATTTCGTTTGCGCGGGAAACTAACACAGAATATTAAAAATACTTTTTGTAGTGTTCTATATTGTGAATTATTTTATTTTATTCTATGTAATTTTTAATTAAATTATATATTAATACATTATTACACACAGTTGACAAAAGTAAATAAATTACTTTTGTCAACTGTAGTATTTAGTAATCTGTATTTAAAAATAATCTTAAAAATGTATTCTGAACAACATTTATTCAAAAGTGCAACAAGCCAGTTTCTGTTTCGTTCCTCGTGTCATGAGTATCGTATATACTCGTATTTTTGTATGCATTTAATGAAAATCTGTTGATTTAAACTTACCAACAGACACTTCGATTTTATTTATTTGTATAGATTCTACAGTGTATCAACTTTAGCATTAACTGATATTAATACAGATAACGTAACCCTATAAGCGAGTTTCAAGCGCCATTCTTTTTGTTTTTTTTACTAACAACATTGTTTTAGGAATCGAAGAATATTACTGAATGTAATTTTAATTTATACATTTGTCACGAATCATTTTACATACATTTAGTAGATATAGCTGTTTAGCATACTGCCCTCTGTCTCACCTATGTCAACCGTCAAACAGTTTGCTTTTTTCCTCATATTCGTCCATCTCGTTTTTAATTTTGGATCAGGCAAAGATCCTTAGACTGTACAGTCTAGTCTCAAAACAGTTTGCTACGTAAAGTTTGTTTTTTTTTGTTTTGTTTATACTTTAATTTAAAAGCAAAGGGATCTGCGACAATACAGCCATGTCTGCATATGTTTGGTGTTCTTAATTTTCTTCGTTTATTTTAGGTACATGCAAAAGTTTTGTTTCGGTTGGAATATTTGACAGCTAAAATAGTATAACATTAACAATTTGAAATTACGAACACAATGTAAATTGTTCTTCAATTTAAACAAAATATATAAAAAAAATGTCGACATATGAGAATTACAGTGTCATCATGACACCTTTCATCATCATCTGCTTCTTCCTTATCCCATTTATTTGTGGTCTGCGTAATATGTTTTTTGCTTCCATTCATCCCTGTTCGCAATCATCGCGTTATTTACTTACTTTCTTACCATATCATCTTTCACACAGTCCATCCATCTCTTTTTCGGCCTTCCTCTGCCCTTGTAACCATCCATATTCATATGTAACACCTTTCTTAAAATATTATCCTCGTTCCTACGCATTACATGTCCATACCACGATAGACGATTACTCTTCAACCTCTCTGAGACCGGTGCCACTTTCATACTTCCTCTAATGTATTCATTCATCATGACACCTTTATCCTTTGAAATGTGCATTTCTAATTCACGAATCACGTGGCCGTCACCAAACGAAGTGGTAACCGTAGTGCTGTTTCATCCTTATTTTTTAATGTTTATTTGTTGAAATTTATCACTTTTTTTTGTTTGAAAACATCCGAGTAATCATCCCATCTAATATCTCTACATCTAAAATAATTAAGACTCATATTTACGACGTTTATGTATATGCAAACAGATATATAATTTGGTGGATCATCCCATCTAATATCTCTACATCTAAAATAATTAAGACTCATATTTACAACGTTTATGTATATGCAAACAGATATATAATTTGGTGGTCATTTTTCCTGTTATTATGTTTCATTTTATTAATAATATGAGCTATTATTAATAGTCTATGGACCATTATTAAAATTTTTAACATTGAATTATTTAATATTATTTTTATACTAGCTGTTCCCCGCGACTACGTCCGCGTGAATTTAACTTTCATGTTCAAAAATAATAGAATTTTTCGAAACTAAAAGTCATCTAAGTACATCTTAGATTACTTTTATTTTCGATCATCTACTTCTTATGTAACTGATGTAAGTTACCTGCCAAAAAAGTCCCGTCAAAATCTGTCCAGCCATTTCAGAGATTAGCCGGAACAAACAGACAGACGGACAGACAAAAATTGTAAAAAATGTTATTTTGCTGTATGTATCGTATTTATATTCATATGCATGCAGTAAAAAAACGTTTATTTCAATATTACAAACAGACACTCCAATTTTATTTATATGTATATATAAATTTTGGTTTTCATTTTTATCCTTATTTAATAATAATAATCATAGATTTATTTGTCAACGATTTTAAGTTTTATAATATCTTAGCATATATATACATTTATGAATCAGTTGACTGTTTTTATATTGCATACTAGCTGTACCCGCGACTTCGTTCGCGTGGAATTTGACTTTATTTTTCTAAAATAAAAGTATCCTAAGTTACCCCTTATTACATCAGCTACCTGCCAATAAAAGTCCCATCGAAATCGGTCCAGCCATTTCAGAGATTAGCCGGAACAAACAGACAGACAAAAATTGTAAAAAATGTTAATTTGGTGTATGTACCGTACTTATATTCACATGCACGTAGTAAAAAACGGTTATTTCAATATTACAAACAGACACTCCAATTTTATTTATATGTATAAATAAATATATATATGTTATTGAAAATTAATAAATGAATGATAGTACATTAAATACTAAACTACTTATATATACCTACCATATGTAATTATATGTATAGATATATAATTCATAATATTCAACAATAAACTGCATTAAACACAAAGTCACAATTTATGAAAATCTACTTTAACATTAAAGCATTAAAGTCGTATTTATATAAAATGTTTTTGCGAGTTAATGCAATTTTCTTTAAACTCCTATATGTGAATAATTTATACGTAATTACCATAATGAATGCGCAAGCGCAGTTGTTATACCTACGATAACTGTATTGGGGCTTTTACCTCGATCTATTCGATTTTCAAAATTATAGAATCTAATAACTACCCCCGCAATAGGTGGTACGACGGCCTGGTCTGGGGTTCGAACTCCTAGCAGTGCCCTTAGACCAGCGGTCTTCAACGTTTCACAAATCAAGGGCCAAAAATATTTTTTTCTGCATAGTGGGCCGCATCATAGATATTTATATAAGTATTTTTATATTTTACATTAAAGGTACTTTTTATTACTTAATTGTTGTCGTCATTGAGAGTGGGCTTATGATGTTGTCGGGCCGCAGAAAATACATCGGCGGGCCGCAAGCAGCTCGCGGGCCGCGGGTTGAAGACCTTGGCCTTAGACTAAAGTCGTATCCGTCAGGCGGGAGTTTTTTTTAGAGTATGATAATGAAATGGTGCACCCGCCTGCGCTATCGGTTTACGCTAGCGGGGCACCAGTGGAGGATGATATGATGAAAATGAAGTCAGATCATAGCTGTTTGTTTTATACTATGTAATGACTAGCTATATCCGTAGTTTCACTCGCAAGAAATTTATAGCCAATATGTTATTCTGATGTATAAGCTATATTACTGTAAAGTTTTATCAAAATCCGTTGAATAGTTTTTGCGTGAAAGAGTAACAAACATCCATCCATACTCACAAGCTTTCATGTTTATAATATTAATAAGATATATATATATATATCTATATATATATAATATATATGTCCACGTCCAAATACACTGGGTCCATCCAGTGTCTATGTTATAAAAAAATGCTGTCGAACACAGCTTCACCGAATGATAGGGGGCGAGTGAAGGCACTCCAAACCAAAGGAAGAACTTATGGAGCGGCTGAAGTACAACTCCCACCTGATGACGGAAGCGGATTGTTAGTAATGTGGACTGATGATCCCATTGCTAGCAATGTACCATAAAATCCCAGTGAATTTGTCAGTTTGGGATTTTATCACGATGGTTTCCAGGGGGAACCGGACGTCGACCTGACATGGTACATTGCTATGCATAAATAGATAAATAAATTATTAGTGTAATATGGTCTACGTGATCGTTAGTACATAGTTATCAACACTATAAAAACCCCGAATGCAAACAGTATGACAGATTTCAATGTATTTTCCATACAGTCATTATTACTATAAGTAGTAACATAATATAATAACAATGTTTCAGAACAATTCACGCAGCTCCATCTAGTCCCAAGCTAAGCAGTGTTATGGTTACTAGACAAAGAATATAAATACATATATACTCTGAATACAAATGTTTATTCCGTGCGAGGAATCGAACCCGCGACCTTTTTCCTATGGCGTTTCCTATGTATATTATTTACGTATTAATAAAACTTATTTATATATATACATACTATCTGTCCCGGCAAACGTTGTTTTGCCTTAAAATAAAAAAAAAATTTAGGGGTGGATTACCCCTAACATTTATGGAGATGAAAAATAGATGTTGGCCGATTCTCAGACCTACTCACCATCACCATCGCACACAAAATTTCATGTGAATCGGTCAAGCCGTTTCGGAGGAGTATGGGAACGGATGGTTATAAGGGCAGAGGAAGATCGAAAAATAGATGTATGGACTGTGTGAAAGATGATATGGTAAGAAACGAAGTAAATAATGGGATGACTTTCGCAGTCACTTCGTTACATATGAATGTGGATAGTTATAAGGGGAGAGGAAGACCGAAAAAGAGATGGATGGACTGTGTGAAAGATGATATGTTAAGAAACGAAGTAAATAACGAGATGACTGCGAACAGACATGAATGGAAGAGAAAAACATATTACGAAGACCACAAATAAAT